TATTGGTCAATTTTCAGTATAGTTTCTAAAATAAGTCCATAAAGTTTTTAAACTTTAAAAAGAAAGATAGTTTTTAAGACAAAGATTAAGGATAGATTTCAATAGAAATTCTTCTATGTAGTTTCTAAAATTATTTCAAAAAGTTTAACATTTTTTTAGAGAAAGATAGTTTTTAAAACAGTGAATACGAATATGCAACAATAGCCATTTTTCTTTATTATTTCTCAAAGTACTGCATTAAAATTAAAATTTTCTAAAACGAAGAATACGGTGACATTTCACTGTAATTATTCTTCTTTATAGTTTCCAAAATCAATAGTTTACAAAGCAATATGGATATGCATCTATAGCCATTCTTCTTTATTGCTTCTCAAGTTACTGCGCTTCCCTGACCGTTCTTCAGTATATGTTAGTTTCTAAATTTACTTTACAGGGGTCTGTTTAGAAGAAATTTGGGTCCGTTAACGGACCCTTCACAAAATACCTTTTCATAAAAACGGACCCTTCACAAAATATTTTAACTTAAAAACGGACCCTTCACAAAATATTTTAACTTAAAAACGGACCCTTCAGAAAATGATTTTTCCTTTAATAGGACCCTTGACAAATTTGTTTATCTTCATTATTATTTTCTTAATCGAATAAACCCTTTCCAGGGCAGAAAACACGAAAGATGGATGTAAACGAATTAAGTTTTGTCTTCGGCAGACGATTCTTCCATTNAGTAATTTTTTTCACAATTTTACAAAAACGGACCTTTCACAAAATGTCTGGATAGACCCCTGCTTTATAATATTTTAAACTTTCAGAAAAAAGCAGATTTTTAAATAAAGATAACGGACAAATTTTAATAGTCATTCTTTTAATAGTTCGAATTTTAAAACTTTCGAAAGCGAGAAAATTTTTAAAACAAAGGTACTTTTTTTTAAAAAAAATGTCGGGCATTTTCGAAACGTCATTCTACTTTAGAAAATCTTTGCAACAAACTGCAAACTTAAAAATTTACAGGGAAAAATAATTTTTAAAACAAATCTTACACAATTTTTATGAAGAATCTAAATTAATCACCGGAATTTGCGCAGTTTAACCTTAAATTTAACAACAACTCATTGACTTAATATGATTGAAACGACATTGAGGGTGAATATGTTGAATCACAATTTAGGGAATTAAGAGAAAAATAAGTTTTAAAATAACAAGAGAGTCATCAAGAGATAGACTTCCCGTCAAAAACTGTCTCTCTTAAATTAAACAGTTGATAAAAAAACAAATTATCATCATGTACTCTAAAGCCGATCACAAACTAGATAATCTGAGTGTCTTTTTATTTTATTTATTTATCCTTTTTTTTAGTCTAGCCTAAAAACTGTGTTACAAAAGCTTCTCTCCGCTAACTATAACCGGTTGGCTTCTTTATTACGTTAATATAGGAAAAAGATGAGATGATATAAAAAGTTATTTATGATAGAGCACCGATTGCTAATTTAACAACCGGTTGTTTCTGATAATAAACGGCTTTATTGCTACAACCGCTATTTATATTATTATCTTTAAACAGTTTATTTTAGTTAGGTGAAATTTTTTAAGATAAGTAATCACATATTTTAAAATAATTTCTTTTAGGTTTAAGATTGTTAAGCTCGGCAAATTTATTAGTCTGAGTTTATTGCGAAATTACCTAGTATGCAATCAATTCCTTGAATATATTTTTATTTTTCTGAACTTCCAAGGCTGAAGTAGTAAATTTTACTAATGAACATGCTCTTCCCGTATTTAATTCAACTATTATATGAACGGTGCGGGGGAAAAAGGAATACCCTGAATAACTTTTGATCTAATGGTCGGGTCTTCGATTTCTAGGACTCAATCTTAATGGTTCGACGTGGTGACCTCAAATATATTAATTAATTAGTGCGGACGATATTTTAAGTTACGAAAACAGACACATAAATGCACTTCCCTGAATAAATATGCGTTTTTATAGACGGATTCAGAATTCTGACCCCAAAATATAGCGGGTAGCCGGAATTCGGGAAATGTGGTCCCCATAGTTTGGTAATGAGAGCGATCCAAAGTTTGGACTTCGTAATGTTAATTTTACTTTTTGAGTATTTTATCATAGCTCGAGTACTTTTTAAAAGCGAATTGAAAGTTTTTTGTCCGCAATTATAAATTTCGTTTATACAAAAATAGTTACATTAAAAAAATACATTTTAGTAAATATTTATATTATTTTATTTAATAATAGTTGAAATTTTTTTTAATTGTAAGGTATACAATTTTATATATCATTTTAAATTAGGTAATTTTTCATGTCAAAATACAAATATTTGCGCGAAATCAGTAAAATAGTTCCCGAGAAATCAAATTTTGAAAAATTCAAATACTTAGAATTCGATTTCTCAAGAACTATTCAACCAATTTAGCTCAAATTGTGTATTTAACCATGTAAAATTATGTATATAACCATGCAAAATTATGTATATTAAAATTATGTAAAAAATTATTACCTTACAATTCAAAATTTTTTCGACTCTTATTAAATAAAATAATGAAAAATAATAAATATTAACTAAAATTTATTTTTCGCATGGAATTATTTATTGGAATTATCGCATGGAATTTTTTTCAGATGTTCTAACTGCAAGCAAATATATATTTTATATTTTTCTAATTATAAAAAAGCAGTCCAATAGTTACTAAAAATCAGATCATCGGAATTATATTTGAATTCAAATATAAATTTTAAAAAAAGTAGTTTGAAAAAAAAATTTTTAATACGTATTTAAAATTTTATCAATAATTGACTTTGAAAATTAAAAAAAAAATTTCAATGATGGTAACTGTTTCTTTGAGATCTAAAACACTGAAAATCAGTGTAAATTTGAAAAAAATTATTTGGAAATGAGCCACGTTTGGAAGATTTTACCTTAACGCAGAAAAAGACACTTGGGTTTCATGCTGTATTTCATAACTATAAATTATTAAAATCCTAAATATAGTTTTTAACCCATTTTGATCTAAATAAATACAAAAAAATGAAAAAAAGTATAAAAATTTGATTAATAAAAATTCTGCGTCAAAGGATTAAGAGAAAAAGTCTGAGCCGTGCCAGTGTATTAATGGATTTAAGTTCCAATACTGTCTACCTAACCTAATCTTGTAAGATTTTATGGTTTTCCTCTCTATCTAACGCAAATTCGGTAAATTTCATTCAAAAAAAAATCTTACGACAAAACCTGTTTGCCTTGATTCTTAATCTGGAGTTCTAATCTACATTTTAATTAAGAAACCTCCCGAATTTTCTTTCATAAAATTGTATGATTTTTAGTAAAAATTTCAACTACCTGAAATAAAATATTTATGATTTTTAAACATCCCGATAACGATATTTAAAGATGTATTTTCGCGATATCGTGAATACCATTTTTTACGAATAATATCAAATATATGATAATTATCGACAGCGATAAATAGTCATTACGATCAGAATACGATATCACGAATATTACAGATAACGAAAATTATCGAATACAGTATTATGGAGTGTTGATTATTTTAATTTATGTCACGAAAATATTGACTAATGTAAAATGGAAATACTGGAGAAATATATGAACAATATTTCATGACGTTATCACGTTAATAAAAACTTGATATTGCCCAGAACTAGGAGCCTTACCCAGAACCAGTGAAGTAAAATATAAATTCGAAGCATCTGTAATGATTTTTTTTATTTATTACAGTAACATAAGAAAAAATTATTGTTCTAAATAAATTATTCTTAGCTATGTAAGTGCAATCATTTTTTACACCTTGAACACTGTTAAAAAATTTGAAGGTTAAAAAAAATTCAGAAAGTACCATAAATTGAAAAATTATACCATTATAATGTAATTATTATGAATATGTTAACTAAATTACATATTTCATTTTAAATGCTATTAATTTCTTTTTCAATTATACAAAATATCTTAATTTAACTTTTCAGTGAAAGATTTAAAATACTCAATTATCAAATTTTGTAACCTAATTTCATAGAAGAATTTGTTTTCAAAAAATGTTTTGTTAATTACTACTTTAAAAAATATATATATGATTGGTAAGTTTGACAATAAGTAAAAATTAAGTCACAAGTCAGCCTTAAGAATCAACAAATTACACGCATAAAATGCATTCTTATGCTTAAGGTTTTTAGCCGAACTCAAATTCAACTCAAACGTCAAATTCCTTGCTAAGAAACACGTTTAGATTATGAAAGCGAAAATTAATTACAATTACAAATTTAAATTATTTTAAACTTATAGAACACTATTACAACTATAGTTAAATTATAACTATGACTGTAATAATATAAAATTTAAAAAATATGAAATATTCCAATTTTAAAATTTAATCTACTTGAATGAGCTTAATAAGAACCAATTCATATTATTGGCCAACATGAAATAAAATCGCAGTCATAAATTTTAGCAGTCCGTAGCATCGCCCAGTTCGTTACACCTTAAGCACGCTCCCTGATAAAAATGTAATATATTATTTACTTATCGTAGTGATTTATTTTTTTCTTGGTTTATGGTACAATAATAGATTACATTAATTTTTAGAAGAAGAAGAAAAAAAATTTCGAGCAAAAAAAAATTATTTAAAATGTGTATTATTATTTTAATTATAAAATATTAATTTGCATTTTTTTCCAACTTTATAATACAAACTAGTTTGCACCAGACTTAATAAATAAAAAAAAGTAATGGCACATTTATGAACGAAAGGAAATTTTTATTTTCTTGTTTTAGCTATCCTTAATTTGAAAAAAGATATGCAAGACGAATTTTAAACGGATATTATACATCTCTTTTCTTTTTTTTAATTAAAAAGGTATTGGTGTGGTTGCTAAAGTATTGTGTACTTTTTATTTTTAATAAAAACTGATTAAAAACACTTTTTTAAATTTTCAATGTACCAACTCTGTTAAATACTTGTAGGAAATAACTTCCTACCTTTTATGAATTCTGCCACATGCACGATGATATTTTGGTTGATTGTATCCATTTGTAACAAGCATGAATATACAGATGAGCAAAGAACAATTGCACTAAACAAATGATGCCACCAGTGATGTACAAAAAAAAGTTCTTAGAGCACTTTTGACTAAGTTAAACAAGTTATTTAAATTTTAAAATCCCAAATTCTCCTTCTGCAGAATTTTGTAAATTTTATCGTATGCATTTCAATACACTGATAACAAAAAGAAAACAAAACGTTTTTGTTATCCATATTATCTATTAGTTCATTGAAAACTCGTTAAAACCGAAACTGATAAATTCTCTCTACATCCTACAACTGCCACCGAGAGGATGATTTCTGAATGATGCATGCAGATGAAAGTAACACAGCCTCCCCATTTTCAAACTCTGTCTCATTACGTCACGGATCAAGAACCAATCATGGAAGAGTGATGACAGCGTCATCTGTCGGTAGATCCCTTCACAAACCATTTCAGCAAGAAGATCATCTCAATCTTGAAGTAAAGTTTTACGGCCTGGTAAAATAGAATAAAAATTCGATGTTATTTCCTTGAGGTTCAGTTTTTTTTTTTTCAAAGGGGAACGAAATTAATGATGCAAAAAGTACAAAATATACTAGTTTAGAAAGTTTTAGTGCTTAAAAAATTGCTGTTCCCAGCTATAAATAGCTACAAGATTGAGGAGAGAATTTCAGAATGTTTTATTTATTACATAAAAGGGAACTGAAATAGTTGTGATAATTTTCTTGTTCTTTCAATGCCCACTTGTTTGTTTGCTTAATGCAACTTGTTGAAAATTATTATAAACTAGTTATGTAAACCTGGAATTTTTTTTATTTATTTATTTTTTATAAGACAAACTTATTTACGGAAATTAAAATATAATTATAACATTTTTTTACTTTATTTCATTATCGACGTTAAACATCTGACCCATTTTTGAGTGCACAACTATCAATATTCAACTCCGTAACCTTGTAATTTGAAATCTAACCCGAAAGACAAGAGAACTCATTCAAATAGCTTTTTTTAATACTTTAATTTATCTTTGTCTTACACTAGTTTGAAGAAAAATAATTTTTCTTCTTTTCTCCAAAGATAAAGTCAAACTAAATTTAGTTAATAGGTCATCTTCAAAATATGATTGAGAACAAAGTATTGCGTTTTATTATAATCAGCATTATCAATAAGTTGTGTCTATTAATGTACCATTTCTGTGTTAATGTTATGTAAAATGCATGATATAAAAACTCCATAGTGCATAAATAGTATTGGTTCATTTATATGTCATGTAAACATAAATGGTGCTGCCTAAATTTAACTTTACACTTCATAATGATGCATCATATGTTGTAAGTCTCAATAATAAACATATATGTTTATTCTTGTTACTTGTTAGAAAAGATTTTTAGTTTTGAATCTATTTTATTTGTGGAAAAAATCGCCTTTAATATGAAACTTTTTATTGATTAACACTAAATTCCATAATTTATCTAAACATGAGTTTAAAAAATAAACAGAATTTTAAAGGAAAGCAGTATTTTTCTGAAAGTACATTTAATTTTTAAAGGACTAATTAAACATTGACGTTCATTAACAAGAAAAATATGCTTACGTACTGTTTGAGTCTTTTGGAAGAAGTCGAAACTTAAAATGTCTAATATTTTGCCTTTTTTTTCTTTTTTTAAAGAAAAATTCCGGGAAATTAGCCAGAATTTTTAAAAAGACTAAGCTCTCTGTTCTACTTTTAACTTTTTATTAGCGCAAGAGCAACACTCGAAAAAGGCTTCTATTTCATTTTATTTTATATTCGGCGTTGAGCAGCCGACTTAACTTCGTATCCTTGTAACTTTGAACCCAAATCAGAAGACAAGAAAACTTCTGTATAATATGCCTTCGAGGAGGAATTTTTAATGGAACTAAATCGTTTTTGAATTTGAGAGGACACTCACGTAAACCTCCCACGCGTAGCCCGACGGTAAGAGGATTCTAACTAGAGCTGGTTCAAGCTCACTTTCAGAGGTTCGAACCCACCCGAGCAGGTTGTATGCAGGATTACTCAGACCCCAAAAGATATTTTTTTAATTTTTTTTACCGTCAGCTTTTTTTCTACCTCAATGTTGTCTCCTCATCTAAGTGTACCACTACAGCCTTGCCCATTAAGGATCAATTGCATTAAATGAATACTATTTATGTTGTTCTATTTATAATACAGTCAAACCTCGCTATAGTGAACCTTCAAGGGATCGAAATTTTGGTTCGCTATAACGGGGAGTTCACTATATCCGTTCCGCAAACAATTTTAACTGATGGTTCCGAACTCCTTCTTTTTATTATACATTATTTAAAGCATTATACATTATTAATACATTTTTATTATACATTATTAATACCTAATAAAATGAAATACAAAAATGATTGAAAAATAATGCGTAGTAACAAAAAAAGTGTTACGTGATTTTTTTTATTATTACTCTCCGTCTTGTGTACAAAAAAATTTTTTTTTTAATCTTTGGCTGTTCTCCTTCTTCTTCAGGAGCGCAACAGCCCTTTGCAGGCCTTGGCTGCCTCAACAGCACGCCTTCTCCAGCTCCCTCTGTCCATGGCAACTCCCCTCCAGTTCTTAAGTTTTAGGACTTTGAGGTCGTTTTCGGTGTCGTTGAGCCATCGAGTAGGTGGTCTACCTCTAGAGCGGGACCCCTGAGGGTTCTTGAAGGTGGCAATTTTTACAGGGCTATCTTCAGAGCCTCTCCATATATGTCCGAGCCATCTTAGTCGGTTGCTTCGGATTATCTGCATAATTTGAGGATGTTTATAGAGCCCATAAAGTTCAAAGTTGTACCGTGTTCGCCAACATCCCCCCTCTGGTATGGCACCAAAGATAGTTCTAAGTATCTTTCTTTCAAACGTTTCTATCGGGCGTTGTACGTCAAGGTTTAAAGTCCAGGTTTCGTTTCCGTATAGCAAGACAGGCAGAATGAGTGTCTTATATAATTTTAGTTTTGTTTTTTGGCTAATAAAATTCGATCTTAGTTGACTTTTTAGTCCAAAAAAACATCTGTTGGCCATATTGATTCTATTGNAAAAAAAAAAAAAAAAAAATTAATCTTTGGCTGTTGCAGGGAAAAATTTGTCCATACATCTTGCTGGGTAGGCCTGTGTTTCGGGATGGAAAAGTGTGATAAAAGAAGCAAACAAGAGAAAATGCTTATTGCTACATTCCCTTCTATAGATGGTTTTAAAAATCAGTATAAGTATTTATTTTGAAGTAGACATTTCAAAACTATTAAAAAAAATGAGGGAAAAAAAATCAGTCGAAGACAGAAAAAAGTTCATAATATCCAACTTCCTCACTTTTTCAGTTCACTATATCCACAAAAAATTACATTATACGTGTATAGCAAGGCACGGGACCGAACATTTCATTCACTATATCCGGGAGTTCACTATAAACAGTGTTCACTATAGCGGGGTTTGATGTATTCTGTTTACAGACAAAAAGATGTACAAGGGCTCTCCGGTCCTCGCTTCGCGAACCTTCACGATGGATAGATTATTACTTTTACTGCCTGATTTAATAGAATCGCTCACTGCGTCATTAAACCGTTGTAAGTTCGTCGCACAAACTCAATCTGTATTTCGTTCACGTTGATCCGTCAAGGAACGACGCCCAACTCCTGGTATAGCACCGACTGAAACTTCAAAACGACTAAAATAAAAATTAAAGAAGAAATAAAAGTCATTCTGACAGTTAATGTTAGCCCCATAAAGCAAAAGCACCGAACAGAAATAGCAGATCGCTTTAATTTTTTATGCCTTATAAATTTTTAATTTTTTTACACTTAATAACTGAACCTAACGTTTGTTTGAAAGTTCTAGAAATGGTTATGAAAATTTTATCTCGAGTTCAGAAGCTTGGTTGGGTTGAGCATGTCTCATCTCTAATTCTATAATTCTAATTCTATAATTCTAATTCTATAGTTCTAATTCTATAATTCTAATTCTCTAACTCTAATTCTCTAACTCTAATTCTCTAACTCTAATTCTCCAATTCTAATTCTCTAATTCTAATTCACTAATTCTAATTCATCTCTAACTCTAATTCTCTAATTCTAATACTCTAATTCTCTAATTCTAATTCTCTAATTCTCTAATTCTAATTCACTAATTCTAATTCTCTAATTCTAATTCTCTAATTCTAATTCTCTAATTCTTATTCTCTAATTCTAATTCTCTAATTCTAATTCTCTAATTCTAATTCATCTCTAATTCTATATCCCTAATTCTAATTCATCTCTAATTATATATCTCTAATTCTAATTCATCTCTATATTTTGCATCATGGTAGTCGGTAACAGCCGGGTGCAGAGTTCATATCTAGCAGATTTCCTGGGATTCGAATCTGGTTCATCTCACTGGGAGGCAAGCTCTGCATCCCCTGAGCCACCGCTGTTCGTTTAAAACGTTGAAAAATTTTACAAACCAGTTTAGACTTTTTATTTTTGAAATCTTTAAAGAATAAAAAAGTAAGGTTTTTTTCCCCCTATTAAGGTTGATTGAACACAGGTTTGACGGACCCCAAGATGATATAAGTTTCAAACTCCTTCCTTAAAACCAAAAAAATCTTATTTTAATATTTTAAAATTTTTTTTAAGGAAGTGATTGTAGTTACCATATACTTATATAAAGGAATTTACAGTAAATTTTCTTTTAAAAGTAATTAATTATAAAACTTCTTTTCCGTGTCAGGAATTTTGAGTAGACCCCCAACGATTTCGGGCTCTGGGACTAAAGTCTCTACCTCCCCCCCTCTTAATATGGCCCTGTCTCAAACCCAAACTATTTCAGACCGTTAGTTTAATAACAAAACAGTTTAGAAAAAAAAAGGAAATTTAAAAAGGATTAAAATTAAATTCAAAATGAAAAGAAAAGATCCAAATGAAACTTAAATCAAATAAATATTACATCAAATCGATTGAAATCACTGTGGCTTTGTTAAAAGAAATTAAAGCTATTTCAGTAATTTTTGAAAAAAAAATAATAATATTTGCTTCTTTCAAAAAATGGATCTAATAGGAAATATTGATTTTCAAAAAAATGTTAGTTATGATTGAACCACAACTTTTGTCGGCTATAATTTTTGAATGTCTTCAAATTTTGGATGTCAAATTTAAATATTTAAAGAGGTATCCAAATAACAATTAAGTACGAAGTACTTAAAAGTATTACTAAGTATTAAAGTGCGCTCATACTTTAAATACAGTAGAAATACATTGTGGCAACAAATGCGTAGGTTAATATAAGTTATCAAAAATTAAAGAAATACTATTTTCTTTAATTTTTGAAAACACAAGTAACTTTAAACAA